GTAAAGTTCGATGGATGGGGGACATTTCCTTGTGCTTGATCATCCGCCATACTTGAAATTTATGAGGTATAAACTCGGTAAACTTGTCTCCATTCACTGAGCAGTAACGGCGATTGCAAAGTCACGTGTGTAATTCAACTTCGAACAGGGAAAGTTGGTCTGATCAGTTTAAAACTCACCTCGGCGATTCAATTTCAGTTCGCTATGGATTTCTGGGTTACAAAACGTTTCCTTGTGCATTCATTTAGCAACAAGACCACTTCTGACACCATGTAAAGTCTACTTGACTTTGTATTCAAAAGAATAAAGATTGTACACAAGGATGACCTCGAGCAATGCCCGACAGTAGTAATCTTTAATGCCCACGCATGCGTAATGGAACATACCATTACATAAGGAGGAGCCGTAGCTCTTGCAATACAAGGGGCAATGTATACGAGACACTAACGTTACACTAACGTCGGTATAATCCGCCATTTTATTTGAGTGTGTTTGCCACCCGACTCCGCCCGGTGACGTCATCATGTGCGCTATAGAAGGAGGTATGTGATTCGTTGACTAAAATCGTAGATAGTGGGTCTCGTTGAAATCTCGTTACATAGGCATCGGCTCAGATGTAGGTAGGGCGGAATTAAAAAAATCACAAAATCAAAATCAAAGTAAAATAATAAAATAAAATAAAATAAAATAAAATAAAATAAAAGGGCATTAATAACAAAAGTAATAAAAAATAAAATTAAAATAAGTTTATAGCCAAAATAATTAAAGCCCGTACACTACATCAGATTTTAATCAGATTGTCAGATACTCAACTGAACGTACCTTTTTAATTATAGTCTAACCTTATTTGAATAGATTACAGGCTTTACATTCTATCTAAATTGTTAATAGATGGCGCGTGTCAAAAAAGCATATTCTATCTTCAATACAATCATCAATCAATATAGTACCTGTGGTGGAATGACATAGTCAGCCTCGTCCCAGACTCTGTTATACGGCGATATATCCTCTACTGCGATATTGCTCGGATCAACAGTAGACAGGTTGGTATACGATACACCCTTGACCTTTGTTAATGTCGTGCTTACTACATAATCTTTCGCTTGATGGGCTTTGTTGGCTATCAGTGCGAATCTAAAGTATGTTGACATGTACATTTTATTTGAACAAATGCAAAATAAAGTTTGTAATGCAGGAACGAAAAATATTCCACAACTCTATGCTTTCTTGAGGTTTGATTTCTTTTGTTTGTATAATAGCGAGCTCTATAAATAACATGCTGGTCAATGAGCGGCGCCATTAGTTTGTTTGTTTCACAGTTTATGCAAGGGAGACAGCTTATTAATGATAAAGCATCTTTAGAATCTTATTCAATTATAAAACATTCCACGAATAAAACATTCGTCATACACTACGTTAATTTGTTTGTATTTAAAAGACTACGGAAAGCTTTTGTTAATTGTATCACGTACTTCTTGCTTGCGTAAGTAACATAACAGTATAATAACACATTTATAGATTTCGATAATAACAATGTGCAACTTACAAAACAAAGGTTAGAAATGCAGCAAACCATACGACCTTGTAAATTAAACCACACCACGTGTCCCATGTCACTGTCTTCGATAATGCAAAACTCTTTCCAGGAATACGCATGACTGAAGTTTAGTTGTCAGTTAATTGATCACTTAGAATTCAACACAATTACTCTACCTGAAATACATGACATAATCTAAATCCATAATTCTCGTTTTATCCCATTTATTCACGTGTCTAGTTTACGAAAATAATCTACGATTCGTGCATCGATCTGACAGAAGA